GCGCGGCTGCGAAAAAGAGAAAATAAAAGAATCGGCTAGTGGAGCAATGACTGACTCTGGTGGATCTCCTGTACGTGTGATCTTCTGTTCTGTCTACTAGACTTTGTGTGTTACTAATATTGCGTCTATACTATCAATTGACATAATATCTCATTATGTCATCGTCGTATGCTCTTAATAACCCTTCTATCCTGGGCACGACCCGGGTAGATTCTGATTATATATTCCGTCTTACCGGGAGCTGGGTATATTCTCATTACCGGGACTTTTTACCTCGTCGCCGTGCCTTTACTGCCGGTGTTGCCAAAACCCCCCGGAGGGGGATTTCTTGTAAATGCTAAAACGTCTCAGAACTCCTACGACAGACCACGTAAGATATCTGACTTAATATTCTACTTGGTGCGTGTAATAATGTTAAGTTAAACAATCAAGAAGGTAAAGTGAAAGCAAACACAAATCCGAGCGAACGTCGGGACGTATATCGATATTATTTTATGGATTCTCAAAAACTCATTGTTTCTGTGAATGTAGACAACTGTCCGTTTATCGAAGGTTCTACTATTTTTTCTATCCTTGTAAATTAGTCAATTATTGACCGGTTTTGTTTGGTGGAGATAAATGCGATTAAGTAGCCCGGGGACAATTTACAAACATTACAATCGATGACGATTCAAACCAGCTTTCTTACTCGGAGGAGTAGGTCTTCGACTGGCTTTCGTCTTGGGCTCGTCGGCTCACGTAGGCGCTTCGGTGTGTGTTAACCGCTGCATCTCAAGGGCCAATCGTTCGTTTTAGATTTAGAGAAACCAGTTTTACAGGCCCGTGTTATAATAGTAATCGCGTTATGGTCGAAGTCATAGCGGTGATACTACTTCTGTTCTTCTCAAGCTGTCTTGTTTCTCATCTAGTTAAGATTTACACTATTTTGTGAATTAACTGCTTTCTCTACACGACTATTTCTCCAACTAAATCCGTGTATTCTAGAACGATTTACGGAGCCCCTTATATGTGCCACCGTACTTCGATTTCCCTTTATTTGTTTTACGTATTACGACGCGATATGAAACACGCGGAGTGTGGTCTAACGTATCGCTGTGAATAACAAATCCAGTGCACACAGAAAATTATTCGTACACATCAGTATAGTAATCGATTTTGATCGACCTAGACTAGCATACCTGTAGTTTCCGCTCAGTTTAGATTAAGAGCTCGCCCTACTCTCTAGTCGACGACGACTGCTCAGCTGTGCCGTACGTCGAGACGTACTAGGTGGTACGTCCGCCACTCCCGCCTTGTTTTTGGTGTGGAAGGTCCAATCTTATACGTGTGCCATCGATAAAATTAATGGAGACGTTATGATCCGGAACATTGATACAATAATCTATACAAATGGCAAAATGATAGCCCACAGTTCGAGTACATGACCTAAGGCCGCTCGACGTACTATGAGCCATCTTTTATCTAACGAGGCTAGACCCGTTGGTCGTCCACTTCCGTAAGGGTACCCGGACGCTCGATTTATGAACTCGGGGGCCCGGTAGCCCGTCAGGAATTACAGCTCCCCGGGGAGCCGTATAATAAATATATGGTAGTTTCCGTGTTACGTTGGGGGTCTCTGTGTGTACATAAACTCACACTTATAAAACGTAAACCAGTAACACTTTATAGCAAGGTATGATCTTTTGATCCTCGACCGTTTGACGCAAAAACTTTAACTTGAAAAATTATAGGCTATTTGCAACTAGACAAAAAGAAATAAGAAGCAGAGAAGGCGTCGAGGTAGGACGTCCAGGACGGAACGATTAGTTTATAAGTATATAAATGTGTTAATAGTTTATTATCAGTTACAAAGCAGTACTTGTGACTTACACACGAAGTACAGACTCAGTTATTATTTAAGTAAGACGGAAGTTGGACCGTTATTACTAACACCTGATCGACGTGGCTGTAGGTACATCAGCGGGGGGGGGGGGGGGGGGTCATTCTACTTGGTCGTTTTTCGACAACTGTCGAGGTGTATCGTCGACACGAGAATTCAAACTGTACTTCTTAAACACCTTTATAACATAAGTTTGTCCTAAAATTGTACTAATAGACTCCATAATTAATATATTATACAGAGTAACATCTACTCCGTCTGTCGGCCTCGGTCCGCTCTTTTCGGTCTTATCAGTCGACGAAAGCGTGTCACCTTGTTCTCTTTCCCGGGTTCACATAAGACTCACCCTGTTTTCTCTTTAGCGGTTATGCGTTTATTATTTTAATATGGTAAATGATCTATCATGATGTCTATATAATATATTATAGGGAATATATGTGGTACATATTATCTACCACATTACTACATCTTCGCGTCTCACAGCCATCTATGTGTTCATTTGATATCTCAATGTGATGGTCTACGGTATCAATCGTCGTTTTCTACCTTAGTTAATTCTTCGTGCCGTCATATTATTATTAATGTGCAGTTGTTAATTTATTGACCGAGGTCCCGTAGAGGTGGTGTTAGGCGGTTAGACGCACAGGACCAAAACCGGAGGGAGGACGTATTGGGGTAGTCGTGTAATGTTTGTGTTGCGTCTCAGGCTCCCACAATTCATCATACAAATAAATTTACAAGAGGGAGATGACCGGTGTCGACCCTCGTATACGACCCACATCTTAACAAGGTCCTCCTCCTCTAAAGGACGGTACGTCCCAGAAACCCCTACCCATACGACTACGTGGGGAAGGAAGCAAGCCAGGTGTCATGTCGTCTAGGGCCAGAACACTACACGTTCGACAATACTATTAATGTTAGAAAAACTTTTTGTAAACTAGTCGTTTTTCCTAAGCACCAGTACCTAGATCTAGTCACGACGATCAAATTAATTAATAGTTGACGAGAGATTGTAATCCTTATTTGTGTCATGGTCCACATGCGCTCTCCTCACGTGTGTCGATCGACACGGATCTATGGTGGTTCTGTTTAACTGTAGTTCCCTACGTTTGAGTAGTCTATACTTTTTCCACTTGTTCCAGGCTCGGGCTGACTGGGGTGTCTTATGCCGAAATTTTAATCCTATTGTCTCCTAAAATCGGGTCTTGTGATTTCGTCGGTCACAATTAATTTGTGTCTTTGCGGTATCTTAGTGTAGATTACTTTTATATATTTTTTACGTAAATAAAATTAACCATCCGTCAGTCCAAATTTGTACTAAACCGTCGTGACAACTCGTAAAACTTTTCATAAAAGTACCGGAGACACACCGTTCCGAATCAGAAAGATAGAAAAATCCGGTGTACCACATTTTCATTGATTCAGTATTCTGGCAGTTGCGTTCATGATATGGATACCCGTGTTTAAAACTCATATGAACATGAGCAATGAATTCATACAAGTTTACAAAACGATGAAACATCGAAGATGAGGTGATGTACAAGTCTCCATGTACGACATGAAAATGAGGTCGAGGCACCATAAATTAGGGAAATCAAACAATGTCTAAACCTACTTACTTACACTTTATAATTTAGTTTCACAATTAAGTCTGAAATCAACGGTGAGACCTCATTTAGGTTTTCGATGGGATGGGACCGTCAATATGTTTCAGTAAGTTTGATCGACGTGGAAATGGTCGGAACTATTGTAAATGACTAGTTAGTAAATCTTTTGTATAGTATGATTAATAGACTTACCTAGGTTAGACCGTTTACTGATGAAAATCGACAGCGATGATCAAAGTCGTATAAAACTTATATTAATGAAAAGATGAAAAATAGACTCCTTGTAAAACTTACCGTCCTGAAACATTGACATGTCTCATTAAGGATGTGAGACCATCCAGAAGATGAAAATGAGTTCAATGTTCTAGACTCATCGAAGATGAAAATGAAGGTTCATCGGATGTGCTAGACTCATCCGATGAAGATGAAATGATTTTTTCATGTTCTTGACTCATGAACGATGAAAATTAGTTCATGTTCTATATATGAATATGGGGTGGAGAACAAAATATCGGATACTTTTTTGCTAAATCTTTGTTTCCGATTTTCGATTGCAATCGTCTATCACTGTTACATAGAGGCAATAAGCGATCGAGGTTGCTATTATAAACGCTGCACCTTTTTTTTTGAAAGTCGACCCGGTAGTGTCGGACCCGCGGGCGAGCTGTACCGCTCGAGGATGAGACTTGTGGACTTAGCCGGCGCAAGAGTGCGACAAGTGACGTCGCCAGGTCAGACACGGTATTTTCACTGAGCCTGCCGTGTCAATTATAATTGGGCTTGCCGTGGCAACCATTAGCATCGAGACTCGATCAGGTAGTTAGCGGCTCGTCGTCTCCGAATAATATGTAGTACTCGTCATCCGGCTTCCGTCCTTCTCGGCTCGCTGTTGTCGAGCGTGAAAGTAATATTATATATTTTTTTCGAGCGCACTGCCGTGTAATTTAGGCCCAGGGTCTGGGGCGAGGGTATGGGGTTTTATAAAAATAACCGTTCTAGATGTCTTAGTTGTGGTTTGCTGGATAAAACCTAAGTTTTGGGGCCTCTTAAAAGCGGCTTTCCTACTGTTCAACGTAGGGACTGTTCTATTGGTTTTCGGAACTAGATAGTGTGTCGTTTATTTGAGTTTACTTGTTTGCTCTACATTTGTTCCTCTAGTGTGTATATCAGCTATATTTTGACAGGCGAAGTTAGACTTCTCCGTTGATTTTCGTTGGTGTGCCCCACATACGAACAAGAAACTTGTGATTACAAATAGCCGTTCCGTATCGTGTCTGTGGGTGCTTCAAGAATTCCTCTTTTGATCAACGATTTGTTTGTGCAATCACATGGAAACAATCCGATCGACTTGTAATTGTAATTTGTAACGTGAGTATAATGAGGTCGACTTTGGAAAACATTTCGGCCAGGGCGTACGCCGGTCTTGGCGAGCGAAAGCACATACAGTCCGAGAGTTGTACGGGTCTGAACCATCTAGCTAAAAGTGGCAGCAAAATGAAAAAAGCGGAGTAAGACTTTCTTTGTCCACTTTAAAGATTGCACTGTTCGGTAGAAATCACTACCACTGCGCATAACACGCTCTGTCTCTGGACATCAAAGTGATCTCACAAAGTGTTTTTTTTTTAAACATTCGAAGTCGTCAAAATGCTGTCGTAAAAAAAAAACCTGAACGTTTTACAAAAAATTAAACTGCAGTAACAACACTTTAAAGTAACAACACTGAATAATTATCTCTTTTAATAATTTTCTCTCAGTAATCACTCAACTACTGTCTTTCCAACAAACAGATTGACTCACTCTCACTATCATCACAATGAAACACGTCCAGAAGAATGTCATGCAAAGCTGCCTGCCTTCCTTCCTTCGACTCTCCCTGAACTGCCTGATCTTTTAATGTTCAATGTTAACCATTTGTGCAGATAGCATTAAGTAGAAAATATGCTAATGTGGGGTTAGCCTACCTCCCGCCCCCTTAGCACCTGGTGGAGGGGGCGATAGGCTACTCTTCAAATGTTTCACAAAATACTTACCATCATGACTACTCTTACTGTTTAATATTTTGGTTTACTTCATGTTAAGGCTAATACAAATGACAAGGCTAAGTAATGTAATGTAATGCTAACTAACATGCTCGCTACTAGCTAGGTAGCTAACTTGACTATGTTCCATGCAAAACATGTATATTACCTGATATGTTTGGTCCAACGACTCCTGGTCCTTTCATAAGACGGGAAGCGATAGAACGAGCAAGTGGTATGATCTCTTTTGTGATTACAACCTGGTACAAAGCACACAGGCATCTTGTAAAAGTGAATTTATTGGAGCAATCTCTTATACTTATTGGGGGGAATAAATCAGTCTTCTTCTTCCTCTTTGCTTTGCGAGTCGCAACCAGTCTTGGAGCATTATCGCCTATGACATCACTTACGCGACCCAGAATGAATTTGGGATTTGTAGTCTTTCTAGTTGCGTATTTTTCATAGTCTAGTTAGTTTCATAGTTTCAACAGTTTTACGACAAACTGTGACTTTTTTTACATGGAAATGATTGTTTAAGATTGACAAACATCATATGTGTCATTCGTGGCACAATTCAAACGGGATCAAAAGATAACTTTTCTCTCTCCATTGACTTCAATGTATAATTTTCCGCTTCCGGGGTCCCATAGAGGCTCCCGGAAGGGGAGGGACTTCGCCTCTCTATTACAACGTGACTTCACTATTACATAACAACTATTTTTATTGGGTTCTTTTACTTGGGGTTGATTACATTGTCAGAATGACTGAGAAATTAATTTAACTTCTGTTAGACAGCTATAAAATAAATATATATAATATAAATATTTATTGTATGCAAATTTATGAACAAATGTATGGCATGTAGCTGTCCAACAGAAGTTTAATTAATTTCTCACTTATTCTGACAATGTACTTAACCCCAAATAAAAGAACCCAATAAAAAGAGTTGTTAAATAATAGTGAAGTCACATTGTACCGTAATAACAATAACTCATCCCTCTCGAGTTTTCTTTTTGTGCTTTGCCAAACGCCACTGTGTCAAGTGTCCTATTAGAGTTTCCGTACGTAGTTGTCCAATACGGCGGACCATCTCGCACATGCGCACTGCAGATAGGGCAGGGCGGCAGATCGGGTAGTGACAGAGCTAAACGGAGCCGTCTCGTGTGAACAGACACTTTCCGGTGTCTATTGCGTGTGGACGGAAGCCTTTTTTGCAATTGCGATTGCGTTTGCGTATGCGTTTTACCGTATGCGTCCCCGTGGGGCCGGGGCCTAAGGGGCGGGACATCTCTAAGCGGATGACCAATCACAACAGAGCCGGCCAGCTAACAAATCAGAGCAGACTGGGCTGATATACACCTGCACACCAGCAGGAGAGGACTCTTTAAAGTAGAGACACTACATACTGATATACACCTGAAAATTAGCAGGAGAGGACTCTTTAATAATAATAATAATAATAATAGTAATAATAATAATAACTTGAATTTATATAGCGCCTTTCATAACCTCAAGGTCGCTTTACAAAGAAACATACAAGGACAAGACATAAAACATAAAAAACATAAACATAAAACAGGGGGCAGAAATGGAAGTATAAGTGGGGGGGGGAGTGAGTTATTGTTGGAAGGCGATGTTGAACAGATGAGTTAAGGGTTGATTTGAAGATGTTGAGAGAAGGGGCGTTGCGGATTTCTGCAGGGAGGGAGTTCCAGAGAGTGGGAGCAGCGACACTGAATGCACGGTCCCCGAAGGTGCGGAGGCGTGAATGGGGAATGGAGAGCAGGCCGGAGTCTGAGGATCGAAGGGTGCG